CCTGAATTGCATGATTTAGGGGCTGATCACACTGAATGCACTTTTTGAGTTGAAAGGTGCCTTGTTTGAATGGATTACCAATGGCCGCGAGCGTTTTGCGTGCTGCTAATGTACCTAGTGCACCTTGTGTTAAACCACTCAGCTCTGAGCGAGAAAAGAGTGTTACATCAGTGGAATCTTTTTTTATTGTCCAGTGAAATTTAATTAATTGAACTTTTAACAATTTAATTTTAAAATTATACCAGTATCAACAGCAACACTCGCGCACAATACACAGATGATTCAGACGTTGTCTAGCGATTTAAAAAGCACACCACGCTTCTTTTTACTGTCAACAAAAAAGGCAGTGAAGTGCGCCTTGCGTTATTAGAACGGAAAAGCATGTTAGGTGTGATCGGCCCCTTAGTGAGTTTCCCTTTGCTTCATATTGTTGTTTTCCAATAGTAACAGCAACTGTTACCTTCAGGGTGTACTCACACTAATCTATTCAAACCGTGCTTGGGTACATTTTACCCCCATTTCCCAGTTCGTTTGACAAATGTGAGGGCTCCATACCACGCCCGGGTGCAGTTTGGTTGGCTGGCCTGGTTGGAAGAGGTGGTCTGGTTTGGTTGGGCTCAGGGGAGCTTGTAGTGTAAGTAGGGCTGCTCGATTATGGGAAAAATCATAATCACGATTATTTTGGTCATTATTGTAATCACGATTATTCAAAACGATTATCAGTTGAAGTCAAAATTATTCATCCTCCTGTGAATTTATTTTTATATATAAATATTTCCCAAATGATGTTTAACAGAGGGTTTTTTTTTACAGTATTTCCTATACATTTTTCTTCATCTGGAGAAAGGCTTATTTGTTTTATTTCAGTTAAAATAAAAGCAGGTTTGAATATTTTGAAACCTATAATAGCTCGATATTATTAGCCCCTTTAAGCAATATATGTTTGATTGTGTGCAGAAGAAACTACTGTTATACAATGACTTATCTATTTTCCCAAATTAAGCCTTTGAATTTCACTGAATACTAGTATCTTGAAGAATATCTATAAAGATAATGTGTAAAATATAATGTGCTGTCATCATAGCAAAGATAAAAGTAATCAGTTTTTAGAAATGAGTTATTAAATCTGTTATGTTTAAACTGTGCTTTAAGCATCTTCACTGTATTTTTGATATTATTATTGATTAATAATAAAAACAGTCGGCAGCAGAAGAAATACTGCACGCTGTCACTTTAAGAATAGTGCGGCTCTGATATGGTTTCTCTTTCACGTGTCATTTGATTCTTAACTTGTTAGTTTATTACACAAATGAGGGTTAATATGAATAATCACTAAACACCGCGCTTTGACACAAATGTGCATGTATTTGACCATTAAAGCGCTCACATTAAGATCGCGCTAGATGTGCGTGTGCTCTGCTGTCCGAGGCTAAGCACGGCACACAAACACAAACACACACACGCTACCTGTCCGAGGCCAGACACGGCGCGCACACACACAACAGCACGTGCTCTTTTGCGCTTTTAAAATTATGAATGATGCGCATCCCGTGCTGCAAAAGTTATTACAGCACATGCTTTTAGTCATTTTCACGTGGAACTGAGCTTTGCAGAGGCAAAGAGTTTTCAAACGTGTACAACTAGAAAGGGGGCGGTACGTGATGGAATAATCGGTTATCTCGATTAATGGTTTTTCATAATCGTTAAAAGCCGAAATCGAAATCGGATTTTCGATTAATTGCACAGCCCTAAGTGTAAGTGCAAAGAAGACAATCTTCATCGTACGGAGCGAGCACGCTTCTCTACTTAATTGAACAGTTGCATCATCGATGAGGTAAGCATGCTCGGGCTCAAAAGGTAAAAAGGAAGTGGGAATCACTCTGATACGAAAAGCATTTTGTATATATTGGCACTCCTTTTTGTAAAACATCTCATCTCTCTGGTGACAAAATTAATATAATACAGTATGAAGTTAAATGACTAAATAACTGTAAGTACTCACGCTGATACCAATCGAATCACCAAATTCAAGACTTTTCATTGGCAGACATAACCATTTCCAGGGAATCAAAACCATAACCTTAGCATAACAAAGCCTATTCTCAATATTTGAACTACAGTTATGCAACTTCAGTACTTTACCCGTTATCAGCATTGCATGCCACCTCAAATTGCCAGCTCTTATTGGAATATATTTCCAGTCACTACAAGATGCCAATTCTGAATCACTGTACACTTAGAAGAGTCATCCAAATTGCTTTGATTCACGTTATCCCTTTCTATTTATCTCTCTTAAAAAATCGTTGAGAGTTATGTGATAAAATATTCATCATACCTCCAATTTACCCTAACCATATTTTCAATTTACTCTCAGATACCAAAACGGCAATTGCACTGGAATACGACCCTCATTCTCAGTGGGAAAAAGCTCTGATCTACTGAGAGTCACCGCTGTGTCTGCCGGCTGGGTTTGCTGCAGGGAGGCTGATACTGAGGTAACAGGATGGGTAATTAGGTTGGAAGTCTGGATCTCGCAGAAAGACCCCCTCGCCCTTCCTCTGCTAGACTTTCTTCAATCCAACTAAAATTAGAGCTGAGCCAAAGGCAAGGCACAACAACCGCAGAGGGTCAAACATGAGACCAGGAAGTAAGGGAGGAAGAAAACTGCAGTTTGGCAGAAGAGAATGAGCAGGCGAGAAGAATTACTAAGACCTGTAGAGAGCGAGTATAGGGGAAGGCAGAGACAGCCTGCGGTGGTCAGCGTTGTGACTAAAGCACAAGGGACGTGTGGGAAGCCTACGGCTCGGTAAAGCACACACTTCCCCACCCCCACACCTCTTTTCAAGGCAACTATTTAACATAAAAATTGATTTATATCGAGCCCTAAATTGCTTCCGAGGGAATCGCTCCTGTGGTAGCACAGACAGGGGTCTTGAGTCAAGTGCGTGTGCTAATGAGGCCCAGGGTTTCCATGTGAACAGGGAAGAAGAGCAGCAGCGTGTGCGGACGTGTCAATGCAGACCGTAGCGGTGACCTGTGACAGACTGTTGGGTTTAAACTACATTCCCAACAAGGAGCGATCTTTAAAAGGTGAATCCGGGGTTAGCTTGAGGAGGCGGATTCACTTGGAAACACTAACGATAAAAAGCATAAACTACATCAACTGCAATAACTTTCCACATGAAAACGCTCCTGAGGCTTTGCTGCCATTTCAGTCTCACTTCGAGCGAACATATTGGCAGCAGACCAGTGAAGAGGAAGGATGATAGAAGGCGGATTTGTACCGTTGGCGTGGGTTGTAGGTCAATGTGAGAACGGTTTCCTTTTTAGTCATTTAACTTTGCCAAACTATGCTCTGAAAACACAAGGATGGAAGTAATTGCTGGTCTATAAATACATAAAGACTCATTGCAAATGTTCTGCAACACTGTCTTCATCAGCAGGAAGACATGATACTTCCCCCAGAACTTAATGCTTGTTTAGAACAGCCCAAAGGCCAGACTGGCGCCCACTTCCCTTCAAGCTGCGTAGCGCCCTGCAGGTCTCATTGATTCTCATCTGTTGAATCAGATACCTGAGTGCAGTCGCATTAAATACACATTCCATTAAACACACCACAATCGTTCAGCAGACCCTGCTTACATCAAGGTTTGATCTAAACATAGTTTTCTAAGTGCCCGGCCTGTGAAAGCATATCCTCATTGCACATTAAAAGTATTCAAGAGTAAATGGGGTTCTTTTAATTATTCATGAGGGCTGCGTGATGCAGCTATCTTATATATGCTCGGTTTCAGAATATGCTCAGCACAGGAACCACACGGACTGTGCACATTATTGAACTTACAACGGGAGTCTATGGTGAACCCATACAACAGCCGCCCAATGGACATCGTGTGAAAATGAAATTTTGCTAACTTTTTAAGAGGTACAACCCAAATATTTCTGTAGTAATCAACATGCAAGTGACGCTGACCATAGAGCTTAAGTATTTAATCATTTATGTTCATTTCTTCAATACCACTCCTAGGTCTAGGCTTTCCCCAAGGTCCCAATTATAACTCATATTAAGACATATCCCTCACTCCAATCAACATGTGGATGATTCCAAATACAGATGTAAAAGTGCTCTTAACCACTTCCAGAGATGGTTAAAAAAAATGCATTTGATCAGACTGCTCTCTTATTGTATGTATCATGTGGTCAAGAGTCATTAAAAACCACATATTGCATTCAGATCACATATTATATAGAAGGATTCGGTGAAAAAAATAGGGTTTTCATACTTTGCTGTATTGTACCAAAATTCTGGGTGAAATTGTCACATCCCAATTCGTTTCATTAGCTCAATTTCCCACTGGCTGGAAAGCAAGAATGTGGGTTCAATGCATCAGTACTTGTGCTTCAAATCAAGCATGTGAAAAAAATGACAGGTGAAAAATAAAAACAATGACAAGAAGACTGCCGTTCATATTTGTTCAGTACTTCTAACTCATTAATTTGATCTATATTAAAGTATTTAAACTTGAAATCTTGAATAAGGAAATTCAGAGGATTCAGATACAACTTTGCGGTCCAGCAAATTGTATTTGCCTGTAATTTATGCAATCCTCTCGAAGACCTTAGTTAGTCTGTTTGGGTGGTTTACAGGGGCTGAAGCTAAATTACATGGGACAAGGTTAAATTCTATTGCTTTAACCCTTACGCTTAGAGCTTTAAATACAAAAATAGCCTAGAGAGCCATTAAAACCTAAACAGAAACATTTTAGAGCAAAATACCTTGACAAATTACTTAATCCTCTGATAAAGATGTTAGTTAAGTACACTGAGAATGTAATGCACTTTGGAGAATCAACTCTTACAGCAATGTTTTAAATGTCACCCAAACATTTTTCATACAGGAAACTACAAATGGACAATGTTTTCCTTTTAGTCATAAATGATGACTTGGCTTTACTGTCCAACACCCACATCAGCTTTAAAAGAGACACACAAGCCACTGCTTGAAATCAATTTTTTTTTATTTTGACATAGCAGGTAAAAACATCTGAAGTTATTCACTTTTCTCTTTGTAGTCGTATGTAATAATCTGTAGGATGCGCCAACTTTCAAACAAGCTTGAATGACTTTTAAAATGGAAAAAAAGTGTTTGTTACCCTAAGTCACTGAAAAGCTTCTCTGACCCCAAAGGCTTTAATTTGCTCCTACTGAGATAAGGCCAACAGCTATGCTGAAAGACAGGCACTTCAATAAACTCAAATCCAGTTTAGCTGCATTGCAAATACAGGCTCACCAATCTCTTTAGGAAAACAAAAAGAATACAGACTCCTGGCACTTGTTTTTCATCACTAATCCCAAACAATTCCCATGGTTTTCCGACATTGTGTTAGGTGCTTCTGCTTTTATGTGGATGTTGGAAATCATGCAATGGAATGCTTCTCAAGCGACAGCCAAAGTGAAGGTGTCCAACTCTTTGTCCTGGAGGGCTTCGGATTACTCAAGCCAGACTCCACATGGATGGATTCAATTCATTTTCATCGCATCACATTGACAGAGAGACCTTTAGGAGGCTTTAGTTATTACCAGCATTTCACACTGAAGGAGGTGGCCAGCAGCCATGGCTCTCTAGGACGTGAGCCAGAAACAGTCACAACTCCTCCCCGTGCACTCAAACCCCTGATTCCCTGGAGAGCATATACTGGTTAGGTGCAAAACTAGAAAAATAGCCATGCAAGAAGAAGGAAGACAGACAGACAGCAGTGAGAGCGTTCCATTTGCATTCATAAAGCCACGCTTCCTGTTTTCAGCATGCACAATGCGTGTTTAGAGAAAAGAGCTGCCAAGCCACAATCCCCACTTTCAGGCCACCACACACATGCCTTGCACATTACCCCAGAGGCATTTCCCCAGCAGCTGTAGGCAATGGCTGTCTGATGACATGACTACTCAAGCAAAGACCCATTAGGCGCATACGATAGGCTTCATTCATGAGACTTCCCTAATTCCTTAACAGCCTTGTATGTGTAGTGGAAATATATCTTCATTATTATTTATCATGAAGCCTGTATGCACATTGGTCAACCTCCAACCCACACGCACGCACTTCCAATTGTTTGATGGCACTTGAGCTGTGCTTGATGCTTATTAAAATTCATGCCGAGGACTGATTTGTCTCTAACGCAATAAGACATTAGTCCTGTTAGCCAGTCAGCTACCAGTAGCGGCTCCTTGGGGGGACGGACACACTGTCATTGGCGGTAATTGGTCAAAATGACAGCCTTGAATCCTACATGCTGAGGAAAAAAAAGGGAGCTACAGCGATATACAGAGACAGCAACACACATTCACAAATGCCATGCACAATGCCAAAAGCAGACTCCGCACAGCGAGGATTAGAAAACAAAGGAGAATTTATGGAAAGCTCTCAATTAGCGGAACGGACCTTTATCCAGAAGGTAAAAAAATGTTAGTTTGATTTAGATCAACAATTATTCTGTGAAGCCCTGGAGATTTTTGCTTTTGACAGAAGATACAATTGTGATTCATACCAGCACCGGCAGCATAAACCCATTCATAGAGATCTACACAAGAGCAAGACGAAAATTACCATGGCAATTAAAGGACAAAGTCTGTGCTAGGAGATAGGGGCTGGACAGCTCTAAATTAGCATGTACGATCCTCCGAGCGAGGAAACGGGGAAGACATGCTTGTCTTGCAGAATAAAAGCACTGGAGTATTGTCTGAGGTAGATGTCTGGAGAGCCCAGACAGAATTTTTCGAGCTTGTTAAAATGATTTCTTGGCCAATATGAGCAGGAGAGGACAATTTAAAAGATGAACATTTAAAGTTAAGTGTGCTTAGAAAGCACTTGATGAGGAGAACAGCACAGAGAAACTTTTCAGCACAGAGAAATGACCTTGCGTAATGACTAGCCATAGCACCAGGAGCTCAAGGCTTCTGCTTTAACCCATTAAGAAGCTGTTGGTTCGTACTTTAGCTGACAGGACCATCGACTTCTGCAATTCCAGCCCATTCAGAAGCTCTCCACGAGGACAGTCCATGTTCCATAATGACTGCAGGTGCTTAAAAAGGGTAAGATTGCTCTTACTCTGCCAACAAACACCTGTCTTTTCCTGTAGGAAAATTGAAGTTCAATCAGCAAAACAAGCAAGAGTGAGAAGCGCGCACGCACACAAGTCAGAAACAAACATCTGAATCATCATCCATGATGAGTTCATTCATTACATTAGGCCACTGGAGCTACAAGTAATTACTGAGCTGAGCCTACAGTGGAAACCGGAAACAAGCCCCATTAGGACAATGCAGCTCTGTTAAATGTTATTTAACGCTTCTTGCAGAACATGCAGATTTGGAAAGGTTTGAGTCATCAAAACTAAAAACTACAGAGAAAAACAATTAAAAGTAACATAACTCTATCTTAAATGGATAAACATGGTCTTGCAGATACTGTGAAAAGAATAACTGACCTGAGGAGAGGTCTGACATTCTTGTTTAATCTCTTTCTGATTCCAGGAATTGCCGGGCATCACAACCTGAGGGAAGAGAGAAAGCTGTGAGCAAACAACCAAACATGGACATGATGAACTAATTTGTATTGTGGAAGCTCATGCAATCTGCCAAGTTTGAGTCATGCAACTCAAGCTTTCCCAGGTAACTTTTAAATAGGATATTTTGTGGTTGTTGATTTTCTTTTTGATGTCGCTGTTGTTTTAAATACATGTTAAACAAATCGCAAAAGAAAAAAAACAGGAGCAGCATTACATAAAATGGATCTAGATTTAACATTGAGCACTTTTAGCATGAGTTGCATTACAATTCTGCTCTAGAATGTTAGTACACAAATATTATAAGCAAAATCTATTACTGCGTGTTTGTCTGATCTTTTTTTTAACCACTTTACTTTTATATATTTTACACGACTGAATCTTTTAAATCATTGCACGCTGTTACCAAACAGTTTTAAGTACATGAATGTAGCACTACTCACAAATTTAAGGTTAGGGTTACCTTTACAATGCTGCACTTAAGTTTTACAGTCCTCTCCTGTCCTAAAAGCAGCCAACGTGTCTTTGCATCAGACTTGACAAATATGGCCCCTGCAAGCTTAACTTTTAAATTCAAATTATTTCAGGCTGTAATACATTTCCCATATTCTGAGTGAGATCAAAAATAAAATGTCATTCAAGAAAAGTTTAATACATACCCAAGCATCGAATGCTTTAGTTCTCTCTATAGACATTAGGAAGCTATCCAGGTTATTTTAAAGAGCACAGGTCTTACCTCTAGGGTCCTTTTTAAGTATAAAAAGAGAGAGAGACATTAAAGGTGTGCTTTTAATCGTCAAATCAAACACTTTAAACAGACTCCTTTAGTGTGGTTTACGTCTTCAGACTACATGCATTGTTTTAAATTTAAAATTGGGTTTTGAAGAGGAAGAAACTGAAGGTTAGGAGTTATTTAAAAGGCCATTTCAGATTTTATGAAGACAAAGAAAAATAAACCAGGTTAAAGTTTCATAAAAAACAATCTAGGCTTTATTGACAACTGCTGCAAAACATGTTTTGGACAGATTTAGTTACCTATTTAGGCAAGCTTACACATATGTCATTCTGCATTTTATGGAGAGGATACAAGTACTAAATGGCAGTAAAGTACAGTTTGATGTGGTTGGTTTTTTCCTTTTTAAAATTATGTACAATGGAGTCGGTTTTAGCTGCAGTATCCCTTTACATTAGAAAGTGATGACCCTTGTGGAGATTGTTGTCCAAATCCTTCGTTTTGTTTTTTTAAAGCAGTTTGTGCATGCAGTTTACATAGCATGGTGATTATTATCCATGATAATCTGACTGTTGCCTTTTTTTTTTGCTCTTTTAAACATTACGTAGCCAAACATGGATTATTCTAAAGAACAGTTTTGAAGAGTAAGATTATTTTAACAAATTAAGGATTTGAGGACATTCCATCTCAACAGCGTCTAACTGGGCTATATTTCAAAACTCTAAACATACATGGAAAATTATTGAGGCCTAAAATCTACATTAACAGCTTTTAAGACTATTTATTTAAAACAAATGAATACTCAATGGCTGTTGGAAATACCATTAAAAGACATTTTGACAAGATTAATTTATATTCCTTATTACAAAACAGACATTTAGTTTAGGGTTGTTTTGATACGCTAATATTAAACAGAATTTTGAAATGTAGCCTACATGGGAATCTGCAACTGCACCTCAGCAGAGTTTTTAAGGTAACACAAATTAAAGAAGCGTCCTGAGACACAAAAAGTGGCTGTACAGTTGTTAGACTTTACCTTTGAGCTAAATACTTTTTCCAATCTGTGGAACAAACGTTTACCATCGACAAATGCAAAAAAGCAAGGGTAGGTATGAGCAGAGGAAGATATTGGCAAAAACAAAAAACAAATCAAACCAAAAAACAGCCATGTTTAAACTCTAATCCCTTCTAAAGGTTAAGTCGATTCTTGAGGCATTCAAATGCCGTTCTGTCGAGTTTCTTTAAAGTCCGGAGTAAAAAAAAAAACAAAACACAAAACCAAAAACAAACAGACAATTACTTTTGTCGGGTAGCTTAAAGCGTGAGCTGCCATGGGAGACAGTTGTCATGGCGACGCGTTGGGTGACGTTCCACTAGTCAGACTTAGTATCGTCCATAGGGGTGTTCCCTGAACCCAGGTTTAGTCTGTCTCTGAGTGGGAGCTTTTCCACCGGCGGCAGCAGCAGTACGTGGTGTCCCATTCCAGTTATCTTGAGCTGCAGAAACAGAACACAAATTAACCAAAGATGTTCCTAGTACAGTACTTCCATTCAAATCAATCAGCAAACCTATTACATAACCTGTATCTTTAGATGTGCATGCCATGCCTCATTTGCAAATGGTGAAAACTACCATTTACTCGTACTGCAATACTGCTAGCTTTCAATAGAGGAAGATTTTAGTTCAAAGACCTTAACTTTAATAACTATAATGCATTGCGTAAACCATTAGCAGGGGCAAACTAGGTGTTGAGACTCAAAGGGGTCATAACATGAGAATGTTATGAATCACTTTTCCTTCATCTTTTCAAAGAGATCTTTGTCCCTTTACAGCATCATGCAAGTTTCATAATGTCCACATTCTAAATAAAGCATTTGTTGTTTTCAAATCAAGCTACAAAAACAGATAGTTTGGATATTATGTAATGTCGAACTGGCAGAAACTGCCTCCAGAGGCAAAAATACAACAATAGGGTATATGCAGAAGGACTTTTAATTTTGCAGCAACCTGGGTTAAGCACTTCCGGTGAACTGTATGCAGTTTCAAAAGACACGTTTTAAATCGGCTTTCTTTAAAAATCAATGACCTTTACTGTCTTGTTGATAATACAGCATAAAGTGGGTCTCAGATTGCTCAAGAACCACTGCATTAAATTACATTTTCCCATGCCATGTCTTTAAAATGAACATTGATTTTACTCCAGCATTTTCAATAGCGTTTCTGCGCTCGCCTGCTGATCCTGACAGACGCATGCATATAAACAATGCAAAAATCTCATTTTACACAACTAAATGAATGCTGAAGTCTATTTAACTGATATGTAAATTAAATTACAACATCAATGCTGTAAAAAGAACCGCATAAAACTTTTCAAAAAGCCACATTGTACATTCACCGGAAGCATATCAGTATGGGAAAAAAATACTAGCTGTGCATTTACTCAAAAGCCCCACCCACTGACATTCTGTAGCATAAGAGGACACCCGCCAACACCAGATACAAGAAAAGTTCAAAAAGCAAACCAAAACAATTATAAATCAGATAGTGGATACAATGTACAGACGCAAGTTCACAAAGCCATATTTATAACGCGCTTGAATCAGATTACCAATAGGGCAAACGAACAAACTTTACTTTAAAACATCCAGATTAAACAGCTCATTTGAGTCTCTGTAAAGACTTCAGAAAAATACCAGCATCGGGAACAAGTAGATGGCTTAATTTTAATGGTCTCACATCTCAGAGGATTGTACGTTTTGAGCATTTGACTGCAGATTGTTTTTTAAATGAGACTTGCTACAATGGAGAGACTGCAGTGAAACAGAAGCAGTCAACTGTACATATCTGACAACAGCTGCATTAAAATGATTTTAATAATGCCTTATCTGTAAATTAGTTTTATATTGATACGGTTGTCAAAGTAGTCATGCTCAATAGGTAAGGAGCATTAATTCGGCTTCCAATGCTATGAAGTTAACTACTGCCAATAAACCCAGCCCTAAAAAAAAAAAAACATCAACATTTTGCATAGATTTTGTTTTTGTTTAGAGGAATAAATAGATACATTAACCCAAATAAACAAAGAACATTAACAATTAAATTCCATGTCATGACCCCTTTAATTGGCACTGCATCAGATCTGAAAAACCTAATTTCTCACTTATTATCAAAGAAATTCAGAGGTTAAAATAATAATGAATAAACTTACCATAGTTTTCATACCCCTCCTGTGTCTCTCCATGTCCATAGTCATAGTATTCAGTTTCTCTGGAAAAAGCCAAGCAGAAACACTGTTCAAGTACAAACTCTAACACAAGTAAAACTGGCTAGAATTCCATTAAATAACATGGCAAGCCAGCAACAGAGTGCTTTTAAGACACTGGGAAGGTTCCAAAAAGCCTCCATAAACCGCAATAATTATAAACCAAGTTGATATTAGAGGAAACATGGACTTTCTAAGTTCCAAACTTACAGTAATAGTGTTATTTGTAGAATGAACTTACGCTGCTTGTGGCTGACTGTAGTAACTGTCATAAGATTCATAGCCGGTGTCTGCGTAGCTCTCATCATAAGACTGAGGAAATAAAACATGCAAGACAATCAGTGAAGAACAAACATTGAAAATTCTAGTGCATTTTAAAGCCCCTGTCAAACATTTAGGTTTACACTGTTAAAATCAAGCCTTTAATTCTTTTTAAAACTAAGAATTCAGGTTTGGCAATTGTTCGGTATGAGAATTTCTTTTGGACTTTCCATGTGTGCACTGATGCAAAACATCTGCTTAGGACAAATTATACAGGTTTGTCAGATCTTAATATATTAAGCTCTAATGCATTTTAATGTTATAGTGAGGGGAAATAAAAAGGCTTGCTATTATACCACATTTTATGCTCATTACCCTGGCCTCTATCATTCATCAGTGCTGCAGTGTACTACACTAATTACAGTACAATTATCTCCCTAAACCCGTCACTCAGAAGTTTCAATAACGGTCAGATCTGACTGACATAGTATAGGTGGATAAAGAAAATAGCATTGGGAAAAGTGTTTTCCAATGATCAAATTCACAACAGCATACTGGCGTCTAAATGGATTGTGTCTTAAAAAAATAATTGCTTAAGTAAATGGCACAAATATGCATTCAAGTAATTTATCTTGATTGCAGTGTGAAAGGGGCTAATATCTTCAAAGCAAATTCAGAGGATAGTTATTTAAATAAAACACGTACATATTCATCATAGGACTCTTGGGTCTGAGGGGGTGGAGGCATCCGCGGAGCGCCAGGGGCAGGTGGACGGGCACGGTTTGAAGCAGCTCCTCTGGGCAGCTGGGCTGATGGTCCACCTCTGCCTGCAGGAGCTCCCCTTGCAGCTCCACCACGAGGGGGTCCGCCACGGCCACCTCCACGTGGGGGCATACCACGACCCCTGCAGGGATGAAGATTATTATTCCTCTACTCCTCTAAATTTTTAAAGCAGCTCAAACTAGAACAGTCGCAATGCATTTTACATAGGTGTATGGGTTACCTGGGTGCTCCAGGAGGAGGAAGACCTCCACGGCCTCTGATGGGTGGTCCTCCTCGGCCTCTACCTCCGTGTTCCTGACCGCCATTCAGAAACTTCATCTCCATGAACTGCTCCTGGCAAATGTCATCCATCATGTCCTGTGAGAAAGGCACACAGCTTATTAACATGTCTCAAGAAACACGGAAATCACGGAGTGTCTGTTACTCTAAGCTAGAGAAGTGAACTCAAAAACAACCCATTAATCAGATTAAATATTAATCCGCCACCAGTCAAAGCAAGTTACAGTTCAGCAATGCAGGCGGTTTATACTTAAACAATGGGTCATTTGGAATTCATAAATCACTGTACTAAAAACAGATCGCTTAGACAAAACACAACATTAGCATTTCCCAGCAAAATTTGATCTCTGGACTGCAGCATTTAGACTCAAAGCCGATTTCAGAGTACTTACAGGAAACAAAAACTTTTTGATCTCCTCCATGGCATGAGCCATGCGCATGTATGCATCAGGAACAGGAGCAAACACCTCAATAAACACATGAAGCTCCATAGACAAGTGTGCATACTTTGGTTCTCCATTTTTCCTCAACTCTTCCTCCTGAAAACACAGAAATAAAAAGTTCAGCAAATCCAATTTACCCATAGTTATTTAACCTTCATTCGTACAGAGTAAGAAAACAAGAACCGACATTAAATATCCAAAAACCATCCTTTATTTCAAGTTTAAAGCAATCTTAGAAATTCAAAAGCAAATTTTAGGTGCCCCGGGAAATATTGCAGTTCTTGCATACTTTTAAAGATAACCTCAATAGCACTTTACCTTATTCTTGTCCCTCATGGATCCTTTTCCCAGCACGGAGATCTTAGCGCCCGTCTCCTCCTGCAGTCTCTTGATGGTGTTCCCCTGCGGTCCAAGGATCTTCCCAACAAAGTTAAACTGCACAAAGCAATGGGAAATTAAATATTAAACCCACAGTGTTTGAAGAAGCCTACAGTGCTTCACTTAACCTGACTGAACTTGTTTTCAAGGACTGAGAGCTCAATAGTTTTGATCTCCCTGAACAGGACAAGATTAAATGGAATGCAAACAGATCAAAGGCCTGAGTCGTGCTCCCCTCAACACCAAAGTGAAGGGTAACATTAGGCGGTCTGAGAGAACACAACAAAAAAGGGAGAAAAGTCACACTCAGGAGAAAAAAAAAAAAAGGTTCAACATTTAAATTCATAGCTACAACAGTAATATCCTAAGGGTCAGCTAATGAATATTTGCAGCTGACAGAGGTCCTAAAAAAGTAGTGATCTACCAAAATTTGCTGTCTCAAATATTAAGTCCACACAAAAGAATTAAATAGACATTTTTAAATAAGACTTTTTGATTGGATGCAGCATAATCTAAAGTAAAAATTACATATTAATCTGGAATCTGCATAAAGAACGCACTGAATCTGGAATTAGGAGGAGAAAAACTAATTCTAACTAGTCTTAAACTGGCAGGCAAACTTAACAAATAAACACACAAGGTCAAAGAAGAACACTGTCATGCTGTGTAAAACAGCAGAGAACTCAATCGAATTGACTGATCGCCTCTGGCTGACAAGCCATCAAGGGACGCACAAATAAACATGCACTTAGGAAATATCTTAAGACTCCTTGTGACAGACTTAAAGTCTTTCACAGATTGAGAATAAAAAAGTTGAGAATAATATAGTTGCTTAATTCATGATTAGAAAACAGATTGATTAGCTCAAATAGTTATTTTCACTATTAAAGAATGAAATTATGCGTGATCTGAAATAAGATCTACTGTATGACACGGTCTTACAAAATTATTTGAATATCTCCCAAGAATCCTCATATGACCTCTGCTTGCAATTAGGTGTAGCACTTTCCTTCGTTACAAAAATTCTGAAGCAGCACATAAGAATTCAAGAAAATATAGAGGTCAAAGTAAACGTTTGACACTCACCTTAGGGTACTGTTTGACTGGTATGAGAATCCTTTCCTTCAGTTTGATGTTTTTCATAGTAAAGAGGTCCAGGTAGCTTTCTGTATCTTTCTCAGTGTCCCCCTTCTCAATCTTTTCAATTTCTAAAAGGGAAAACAAGCATTATGCATCAGATTTGAACATTAAAATGCATTACTTCAATGCCAACATGTAAAGCAAGAGTTGGTGCAAATTTATGTTTACAAGTTAACATGCTCTGTTTACAAAAAGAATCGCATTTATAATTCAACAGAAGGTCAGAAAGCAGTTTAAAAGGCTAGTCTTCCTCCTTTTAAGTTGAAAACACTAATAAAAGCATCACACTCAATAGACAAACAGTTAGTAGCATCACAACTTTAGTTATATTTCATTGATATAACCTCACAGCAGATACCCGCGGGTCTTAAACAAAACTCTAGGTCATTTCAATAGCAAATGTACTGAGATTTAAGTGTTTGCTTCAGCCTGTAAAGGAAAGTGCTTGCTTCAAAGACATTGGAAGGAAACGCCATCAATCAGCTGGCTCAGCTTCACTAAAGGGCTTTTACTGCTGAACACCGACCAGCTACAAGCCTTTTCAAAATGTAACTTATGGAACTGATAATAACCACGAGATACTGCTAAACTCCCACTAGGCTGATATAAGACATGTGGTGAAACGAGGCCAGGAAAAGACATTTCCTACACCAAAAATCCAGATGCAACACTTCCCACACTGCAGGCACATATGGTCCTGAACATGGTTTTTATTACTACGACAAATCTCAAAGTTAAGACTTTCACCCGTCTTCAATTTCATACGCTCAGGCTTGGACGATTTCATCTAAAGCTTTCCAGATCTTTCCGTCTAGACAAACACGATAATACAGCGCATGGAGGCTGGGACTTGACGCGTACTAAGGAACGCCACGTTGACCTATTGAACACAAAGCGCTTGTTACAAACAACCAACAACGAAATCCTGATATGATTCATTTAAAAATGTTTTATCTGCAATTTTTGCAACTAAAATTGAATCAAATTTACGGATGCGCACAACAAATTGGTTCCGTAAATGTGTACAAAATATGATATTTGACTTTAAAAGTTCGCTTTCGGTTAAAGCTCATCCAGTACGCAGATCACACATCACTGGAGCGGAAATGGGACCGCTGCCCGGGGGGTGATGAGGGTAAATCTATACACCACCACGGGTTCAGAACATGCACACTGGATAATGATACAAAACCCCCACATTTCACCCTCCGTGAAAGCGTTAACAACACACCGAAAATGGCTACAGCAGCACGTGCCTGGTTCCAGCTAAACACACCACCCCCCTCGCTCGCTGTTACGAGACTTTTGTAACGGTCGTCCCGTCAACGACTACAGTCGATTCCATTCACTTCCCTCCAAACAAAACTGCGATTTTTCTTCGTCCATAAAAGTTAGTGGGTTATACGTTCACATTCCGCTCCTGCGTTTCCACAAAACAACGGCTTTACCTGCTGATATAAGTTTCATGGCGTGTGTGAAGGACGGGTCCAGGCTGTCGCGCTCCGCCAGCAGCTGCGGGAGGTATTTGTTCTCGCTTTCCATGTTGAGTTTGTAAGTTGCTGAAGATTTAAACACCGAAAGTCCAAGAGTGAAACTACTTCAGTATCCACGTCCTGCTTGGATGTCGGAACGGGTGAGTGTATGCTGCTGAACAGTGCGCGGTGGTGAGACGCAATGGCTCCTGTTCTCCGGCGTGCGGTTGGAAACAGATGAACAAAAGCTCGAGACGAGCGCAAATGACTTGAGCGAGCGGAAATTACGTCATGAAACTCGATGTATGGGACCGCCCACTTTGATGTGAAACTTTCTATCTTTTAAATTCATATTTTAATAGGAAGCTGTACAATATTATATATGTGCATATACATTAGATTAATCAGTACTGGAGCCAAATCTGGAGCTTATCTTACAAATTTAAATACAAATTTTTAAAAGAGGAAAAATCAACAAATAAATAAGAAAAAATAAATAAATAGTTGTAATTTAATTTTGTTCTATTATCTTTCAATTTCTATATGTTTGGTGACTAAATGTTATTTTAATCAATATATCTGTTTAATAAATCTGTTTTGTTTAAATGCAGCAACATACATTGGATAAAAATATTCATTTTCAAAATGGGGTCTACACAATTATGCTGAGCACTGTCTCTTTGTATTTTTGTTATCTATGTACCATATACATATGAACAATAATATAAAATATCATCTAAATAATCACAGATTTATTGTGAGTATATACATATATTATTTGGATGTAATTAAAAATATAAATAATGTAAATAAAATGATGTATATTATTTTGTATGTATATATTATTATTATTTTCTTATTAATTTGTTATATATTTTTATCTATCAATTCTTCATTAAAATTATTTATATTTGTAGAATGTATATTTCCACACACATACAACATATATATATATATATATATATATATATATATATATATATATATATATATATAGATAGATAGATATAGATATAAGTATATCAGGGGTTTTCAATCTTAGTCCTTGAGGTCCGATGTCCTGCAGATTTTTGCTCCAACCCCAATCAGACACACCTGGGCTAGCTAATCAAGCTCGTATAGGCTTTCTAAAAACATCCAAGCAGGTGTGTTCTGCAGGACACCGGACCTCCAGGACCGAGTTTGAGAACCCCTGCTTTACATCGTACGAGTATAAATTATATACATGATATGATACTCTATATGTAATTTCTCGGAGCCTTATTCTGACTCCCCGTGTAAGTACGAGATACAAAAGCAACTTGTGTTTTTCCAGCAGATGTAAGACTGCTATATATTAATTAATTAATATGCTGTCTGGCTTTTTGGAGACACCCACAACGCTTTGCATACGCATGTTGTGGGGTTCGTGATAAATTATGAAGAAACTGTGGATTTCATAATGTTTGCTGCCCCCTTCTGGATAGAAATGGCAAATGAATTGCATTCAGGAGTTGGTGAAAAACACGAGTATTGACATGGCCAAATATTAACATTTAAAACACGGACCATTGTGCTTATTCATGCAATATGCTTTATTTATTTGCTATTTATTCAATACTTTTCTAAAACACTCCTGGTGTAGTATATTAGATCTACTGCTCTGTTTTGAATCCATATACTATTATATAATTTTTATCATCTCTTTGATAAAAACACAAAGCCAGCTTGTTTCTCCTCTTCTTCTCTTCTGACTGTAAACACATTTTCTCTCTGCCCTGTTTGTGAGGTCAGCTGTGGCTTAGCATTGCTAGGAGGCCCGTGAAACCTTTTTTGTCCAGCGAAAGCTTTCAGAACTGTCACACCTGCTTAGGCCTTTAGCACCAGCAGCGCCTTCCTCCGCTCCCCTTTCCCCTCAGCCTCGCTCAAGGTTAATACACTCAGCTTCTGCATGTCAGACTATTCAGACTCATAAAGAACTGCCTGCTTGCTGACCGCTTTGGCCTTTGAGCTTCGCTTGGCTAAAGCATATTCCTGCCTTTACAATATTTTCCAAAGGCTTCATTAAAATGTTAAAGGCATAGTTCACCCTAACATGAAAACTATGTCACCGTTTACTCGCATTTTACTTGTTCAAAACCTTCATGAGTTTATTTCATCTGTTGAATGCAAAAGAAAATATTTTGAGAAATGTTGGAAACCTTTGCTGCTAGGGAAGTCAATGGTTACAGGTTATCAGCATTCTTCAAAATAGGGCTGTGCGATTTGAGGAAAATATCTAATTGCGATTTTTATTTCTTTATTTTTTGACAGATATTGGGATTGTGATTTGATTTACAATTTAATTCAAGCTTCAAGCTGATTTTAATAAATTTAAGCTTCAGCTTAATAATCTGTAAACCGTGGCAATAATTCTGCGACAGCTCTAAAAATGACCTGTTCTTGTTTGGTGCCTGTGACTTTAAAACCAAAATATTCCCATATTACAAATGCTGTTTTTTCTTTTATATTAATTTGTCTATTAATGCTTCTGTAGCAGCAGATGCCATTATCCCCTTTTTCAGTGATTTCCTGTTTGTTTTCTTTTTTTATTTTAATTGCGGGCATAGTTCAGTTGCACAATTCTGATTGGTCAGAACGAAAGTGTGCTCACTCAATTGCCTAGTTATAAAGCCCCGGTCAGATCACACGATTTTGGCACGATTTCCTTGTCGTGACACAAGATTCAATCGTTTCTTGCATAGTTCACAACAACCGATACCATATCTGGTCATGTTTAATTTTCTGAAGCATAGCAGACTGGTTTTGAAGCACTTCACCTCAGATTGTTATTCATTATCTTTGTTTACATATATACATACAGTACTGGCCCATCCAACAGGCAATTTAGGCAGTCACCTAGGGCCCCATGTTTCTTGGAGGGCCCCACGAACGCTGCGCACAAACAATGCACATTGTGCAATGCCTGTTAAATGTGATAAAATACCATAACAAAATACAAAAATTAAGTTGTCATGAGCAGGTATTGTTTTGTTTTATTATTTCAGAAGTTGAATACTGTATTTTTTGATGATTTGATCAATTTCTTAAATAGCTTTTGAAGATAGACAGGTGATTTTTATATTATATCTCATCATCTTGTTCTCTTAAACTTTAAATTTTCTTAGCACCCTATGACCTATAGTGCAAACACGTCTCTTTTTAACACAAGCTAGTTTAACAACATATTTAACAATATATTTTCTGCTCTGCTGACAAATGACGCATCAATTTTGTCAGCATAAGTACATTCCAAAATAAGTTTACATGTTTTCATTATATTTAATTATAATATAATGTGTGACTTTCGCATGGTGGTCACGATTGAAAAACTTTCCAGTAAAAGTGAAAAACAATTTTTAACATTCCAGTGGCCACTAATAATTTCCAATATTAAACAAGAAGCTCTAACAGCACTCTGCTGAATGCAAAAGTTCAGTATTAGCACTATTTTTTAAGAGATCTAAGAAACTAATTGATACAGGGGCAAAAATGAATCTCAGTGAAAATCTAAGCAATCCACTAATATTACCACTCAAAAATGACTTTTGCTTACTGATTCATGAGTTCAATCCAATTCTTAAGTTTCTTGAGGGACAACTTAATTGTTTTATGTCCAATCCACTATCATTGTAAAAATGATTAAGTAACATAATCAATTTGTGTTTGGACAACATGAAGGAATTGCGTGAAACTCTGCATTTTTTTTTACAGTGAAAGACTCAACATCCTTACCAAAACATTGGACTAATAATAATAAGGAAAAAATAAAATACAACTACAAATAATTCAACATAGTTTCTTAGCAGTTATACAGTGTGGTGTTAATTGCAGAGATCCTTAAAAAAAGAAGTAGAAGAAGAAGAAGAAGAAGAAGAAAACCCAGCAAGTTTTGAAAGAGATCAGGCCTCAGCCAGGTCAGCAAAGTAAAAAAAAAGTAACTCAAAAGTAATGTAACGCATTACTTACCGTAAAATGTAACAAAGTAACATAAATAGTTACTTTTTTGGACAGTAACCCAATATGGTAATGTGTTACTTTCAGAAGTAACTTTCCCTAACACTGTTCAGCAGTACATCTTAGAGTCTTATCTTAGCAAACATAAAACTTGCAAGCTGCAGTAAAGCTGTTTTCTGTAGACGCACCAATGTTACAGCTGAGCTTGGACTTCATGTTGTGAAGCCGATGAAAAGTGAGCAATTTAGCCAGTTTAGGGGTTAGATCTCAGCGAGGAATGGGACATATTTCTTGTAATTACCAGACAACCAAAAAAAATATGTATATAGAAACCATACAGATGTTCTAATGGTTTCCGCTAAAAATAGTGCCTATAAAACTAGCTCATTTAATAGTTTAAAGTGAGTTTTGTGAGATATTGTATTAGGAATTTTCTGATTTTAACATGTTACTACACTGTAAGAAATGATGGGTTCAACCCAATTGTTTTGTTTTGGCACAAAATAAAGGAACTAAGTTAACTTATTAGTTTTTACAAATTTTAAAGAATTGAACATAAAGCAATTAAGTTATCACAAAAAAACTTAAGAATTGTGTTTTAAATTTGTTGTAAAGTAGTTTGAATAAACAGCAAACTTGATTTTTTGAGTGTAGGAGAAAAAAAGGGCCCAGAAAATAGTCTCCTTTACATTAAAACCAATATAATTGCCATCAGTAGAATTAGACAGGTTATTCACATCTCTGTGCAATCTTCTCACTTCCATCAAAATGAATTTCTCAGTACACATATGAAACTAATGAAGCTTCACGAGGGTTTGTTAAGGTAAAAATGAAAATTTTAAAATAACTTCAATCAGTCTGACCCAAAGGGAAGCTGAATAATGGATTTTCTCAAAAGAAAAATAAGTTAAAATTAGCACTCCAAGGTGTTTGATGTGAAATAACTACACTTTAAGAAGAGTTTGTACCAGCACTCAGAGTAATACACTTTTACCACATGTCACAGGAGCTCAGATAATTAATCAGCACACGGTTTGATTCCCTTTAACCTGCTTAAGAGCCTCAAGCTAGATCTGTTTCCTGAGAAAACCCACCAAAAAAGCACAAGATACTCTAATGATGTTGGAATAATCACTTCAAGCGAACAACATTTTCAAAGCTTGTACGCACGGGCTGAGAGCGCAATGCCATGTGTAATGTGCTTTTCCCACTCTGGCTTTGATCAGTTTCGATATAGATGGCGTAGCGGAGAGGTTCTGGAGTCTTTATCTGCTGTGCATT